GTTTATCATTCGTCTATACCTTAAATATTGCTGTCACATCTGATCATTGCTCCTGCTATAGATATTTAGAGATTCTTGATAAAACCCAAGAAGAATCTGCAATTTGATTAGTCCTGACCTGGTATCTTCACTTCAGTCACTTTCCCACCACTGTAACATATCTTTCCTGTGCCTTTTCTATAAATACTTACATTGTTCTGATGAACTTTCCTCTATGGTACCTAGACTTTATGAATTTATGTGCAGTACTAGATTGGCGGCAAAGTCTCATAATTTGAAATAATAAGACTCATAGAATGAATCATTGAATAAGACTCATACAATGTTGTAGAATGGGAATCATTGAATGTGACATAGAAAAAGTCATAGAACAAGACTCTTAAAATGAGCCATAGAATGAGAGTTGTAGAATGAGACACATTCTACATCATAGAATAAGTTGAAATGGCTAGATGCAAACATACGTTCTATGCTAATAGTTTCTTTTTTTGAACTTCTTGCTTGTGAAACTCTCTTCTGGCTTCTTGCTTTCCTCTCAATTTTGATCTTCAAAAATTTAAATACAATGTCAATCATTATTAGTTTTCCTAATTCTTGTTCTTTAATCGTCCTCTCTCCTTAATAGTATATTGTCCTCATATTCTCTAACACTCAGTTACCCCTTGCATTTTAGTGGCTTTATTGCCTTGTTTGGGAAGAAATGATTAAGAAAGTGGAGGAGTAATCAAAATATGGATCATATAATTCTTTGCAGTAAGTCATATAATTCCATAAATGACCATAACTTCTGTTGGTTTTTCAAGGGGTTAAGATGGAGTTTTTTTTTCCACCCAATACAAGGCCCAAGAGACACTCAAAGTAGAGGGTCATTGTGTGGAGTTATATTAGCATAGGAAAGGATGAGCATTAAGAATATAGAGCTGAAGTAGACTTTGGAAGTAACTGGAAACCAAATCCTAAACAGAAAACATGGGATAAACCTCTACTCCTGTTCAAAAAACCAGGGAGGAGTGTGAATTGAGGCTTATAAATAAAGAACATTGAGCAAAATCTTTGTTTATTTTATTATTTGGGTTATGGTTCCAGTGGTCAAATTAGATACAGTTCAGTTTGGAAAAGTATTGAACAATAGCATATTATTCCTCTTGGGTCTTCAAAAACATATCCCAGTGTTTCTTCCTCTTTTCAAAACAGTTTGCACAGTCTTCTGTCAAAACTGCCATCAAATGCTTCATCACGTTCTCTTTAATCTTTTCCATGGTCTAAAGTTTCCTCTTTTTCAATGATGATAGCCAGAAGTTACAAGGAATAAAACCTGGACTCTGTGTGTGTGTATGTGAAAGTGACTGAAATATCTGGCTGCAATAGTCTACTTAAAAACTATAGCAAAGAAAATGGCAAATTACCTCGTCAAACCAAGCGACAGCATGTCACGTGTATCCTATGATGGAAAATATGGCAAAAAAGAAAGTTACTTGCCGAAAAAAAAGGGCACATTCTGCATCGTATGCTGAAGACGGAATATTCAAATTAGAAACAAGTCACTCACAGGAGTCACCATAAAAGTATTTTGACATGCTAATATTGTTCATCCTCTCCCAGTTATCAATGAATTAAAAAAATGTTCAGTCAATAAAAGCAGTTGGTGTTCTCAAATTGGGGATGAAAAAGACAAAATTTGTGTATTTTGGCTGCCACATTTATTGGCGAGTGAGTTATTTTTCTGACTGGTTATGTGCAATGTAATTTGTGACATAGTACCTGCAAATCGAGATTTCAACATTTCTTTCTGTCCCTGATATGTGAGACTGAACTTACAGTGATTTGTTCTCTTCATTGTGGGAGTAATCTGCAATAAATATTTCCTTTGTAATCCAAGAACTCTTACAAAAAACCGTACACAGGATGTAACAAATCTACAAGCTGAATTACTTGGAATACATAAACTGACCTAATAGCATCTCTCTGCTGACTGAGTAACCTCCATGAAGAGGGCCTGTTCACATAGACATATTAAGATTCTCTCTGATTGGTTGCTAAGTTACATCATGGCTATACTATTAGTTCTAGAGCTATTCTGAATTACTGCAGGTTTTTCAGGAAGATCTTATATATGAAATTTAGAAGTTATGTTTTTTCTTTTGCTAACAGTAGAAATACTTACTTATTATAACCACTCAGGTAAATGAGACAATAATTTTTAATGAATGTTACTCATGTCCAATTGCAGTATTGTTCAAAAGGTTTCATGTTTCTTTATCAATTTCACACCAGTTCTTTTTGTATCCCATTTCTATTGCTAGTTATTGTAATGATTAGATTTTCATTTTATGACTATCCTTTTATGAATCTCATATTCTGACTTATTCTATGGCTCTCATTCATGTCTCTGTTTCGCTCTCCTTTCTCGTATGCCTCTCTCTCGCTCTCCTTTCTCGTATGCCTCCCTCCTGCTCTCCTTTCTCGTATGCCTCTTGCTTGCTCTCCTTTCCTTTTATGAATCTCATACTCTGACTTATTCTATGGCTCTCATTCATGCCTCTCTCTCACTCTCCTTTCTCGTATGCCTTCCTCTTGCTCTCCTTTCTCGTATGCCTCTCTCTTGCTCTCCTTTCCTTTTATGAATCTCATACTCTGACTTATTCTATGGCTCTCATTTTGCAACTCACATTCCATGACTCTTATTCTATGATGTATTATGTGTCTCATTCTATAACTCTCATTCTATGACTCATTTTAAGAGTCTTGTTCTATGACATTTTCTATGTCACATTCAATGACTCCCATTCTATAACATTGTATGATTCTTATTCAATGACTCATTCTATGAGTTTTATTTGATGATTCATTCTTGAGTCTTATTTGATGATTCATTCTCATAGAATGAGTCATAGAATAAAACTCATAAGACAGTAGAGTTTGTTACATTTACTTATGTGTAAATATCATTGGGAGAGGTATGAATCCATCTCTTACTTCCCCAGCTATGGGTAAACAGCAGAACAGACTTGGTCCTATAGCCTTGGTTAGCAACTAGTCTAGGAGGGCAACTCTGAATTCAAAATCTCCAATGATATATTAAATAGCTACACCAACCTGCAATTGGCCAAATGTGGTAAGTATAGCTAAATATCCCTGAAGACATGGTCAATGAGGGAGGGGTTCCTCCAACAGAAGTGAGAAGGCCCTAGATTTGGATTTGCAATTTTCCATTTTCTCTCCAAATCATGGCAGAAGCACTTTATCCTGCTGAACTAGATCTGCTTTTAGAGAGAAACAGCTTTAAATACTTGAAAGATCAATGACCACTACAATTTTCCTCATCTATGAGGTTGATGCAAAAGTTTCTAGCATTTTCTTTCATAAGATCTTTTATTTGTAACATTATTATTTGCTCATCAAAATATTTTCTCTGGCTTTCTGTAACATTACACCACCTTCCATATATTAATGTTGATGCAAAAATTTCCAGTATTTTCTTTCATACAAAATCCTTTACATATATAAATTCCTAGCATTTTTATCCAATCATTTCTATTGCTCTCTATGATCATAAGGCTTGGTTGAATAGTTTTGCCCAGATTGGAGACAGTTCTGGGTCAAAGTTCTTGAAAACAGCTACAGGAATTTTATCCAGACCAGTAGCCTTCTTAAAGTCAAGGCTTTTGATAAGTTTGGAAAACTCCCAAGCCAATATAGAGATATCATCAAGCTTAGGCTCTTTAAGGTGGTGGAATTCAAGTAAGGGATAATCTTTGTCCTCTAACCTTGAGTTAGAGGTAAAGTTCATAGCAAAAAGCTTAGGCTTATTCAGCAAGGATGAGATAAACTCAAGGTCATTTATAATGGAAGGTACTGATGATTTACCTGTATTGAGTTTGCAATTTTCTAGACCCCACATGATCCAAGTTTTTTTTATTTTCTACTTTTGATTTTTCTATTCTGCAATTTCAATCATCAAAATATTTTCTATTGCTCTCTATGGCCTTATAGTAAACTTTGACTAAATTTTATGTTCTGTTTTATTAAGTTTTCTGGGTTTTTTTTAAACAAAATTCATAGCCTCATTATTCTGTCAACAAAATATTTTTGATGGCTTTCTTTGACTTTATGGTCACTGCCAGAATTTTAAAAAAAAGAAATTAAGAACCAGAGTTTATTTTGTGAATGGTCAGTACAATTTTTCTAACTATACAATAAATTTTCCAGATAACCTCCACTTTTTAGTTCCTCCATTTCAGACTTTTGCAGATAGACATGACATGCTACTTCTATGGAGCTGAATCACTCTCATTTCCCTCATGTTTCAAATATAAGAAGAAAATTCCACTAAGACATTTGTCTCAAGAACTGCTCCTTTACTGCTACTTTGTAGAACAGACTCCTGTTCAGAGACTTTCTTAAACATTACAATATTAACCTCTTCAAGTCAGAGATCAATTGTCATCTTTCTTTCTTATCCTCATAATCTTCATTTCCTACCATTTACTGTTTCATTCATATCACATACCTCATTCATCATTACCATTTTCACTGTAATTCCCATCCTAGAGTGGCTCTCAAGCCATGTTTTGGGTGAATTTTAGTATAAGAAATAAAGTCTTATATCTGTAAAAATATTTCTGTATTGAAATTGTAAGTTCCTATAACATATTGACTTAGCATAGGTTAAAACCAGGAAATAGTTTGAATTTTGTAGTCAGCACTGTATCAAGTGTATTGATGCTGCACAACCTTCCTGCTGCCTGTGATTTTAATACATTTGTGTACATGTAAAATCTGTGATAAGAAATTGATATTGATATCAACATTATTCACTTATCTTGAACTAAACAGCGAACATGTGACCCCTTCCCTGTGTTTTTGGAGGTCTGCTGCCCTCCCTAACCTGAAAGAAGAAATCATCACTTCTCTCCATTTATCTCAAACAAAAGAATCAGCTATGGGGGTAAGAGGTAAGATGAGAAAGGGTAAAGTTTTCATGAGAAGTTAATAGAAAATCAGGGGAAAGGAGACAAGGATTGAAGTGCTCTTGTAGGAGCCCATCTGGCCAGGACAGGACAGGACAGACAGACAGACAGACAGACTGGAAAATAGACTTGTAGACAAGTAGGAAAAGGAAAAACAGTTTGGGAAGGAAAAATTGGATGGAGGGAAAGATTGGAAGTATAAATAAATGAAAGACTCCAATGGAAATTAGGGAGAAAAAAATTAAAGAAGTAGTTGTAGAAGTGAAAGAAAGATTGATACAATAAGTGGAGGGAAAAAAAGTAAGAAATGGAAACACCAGTAATGTTTAAAAAGGAAGCAAACAGAAAGAAAGAAAGATGAAGAAAGAAAGAAAACTGGAGAAATAAAAGAAAGAAGCATAAAATAGAGATAAAAATATAAGAAAGAAAGAGAAAAAAGTAAGGGAGAAAGAGAAAGGGAGAAAGAAAACGAATGATAAAGAAAGAAAACTGGATGAATAAAAGAAAAAAAGCACTAAATAAAGAGAAAGAGAGAAATGTAAGAAGGAAAAAAGAGAAAAAAGAAAGAAAGAGAAAGTAAGAAAGAGAAAGAACAATAAAGAAAACTGGTTGAATAAAAGAAAAAAAGCGCTAAATAAAGATAAAAAATATAAGAAAGAAAACTGAAAGTATAAAAGAAAGACTAAATAAAGAAATAGATAATTGTATGAGAAATAAATAAATAAAATTAATAAAGAAAGAAATTAAAACTGAATAAATAAAAGCTGATTACTATGAAAGTAAAAAATAGAGAAAGGAAAGAAATATAGATAATATTGAAAGAAAGTTATAATAATAAAAGAAAGACAAATTTAATGATATGGAAAAAGGGAAAGAAAGAAAGAATTAGAGGAAAAAGAAACATTAAGAAAAGAAATGGATAAATAACATGTAAAAAAATAACTGAATATAGAAAGACAGAAAGGTAGAAGAAAAAAATGGAGGAATAAAAGAAGTAAGAATTAAAGAAATAGATAAATTTGTGGAAGAAAAAAAAGAAAGAATAGAAAGAAAGCTATAGAAGAAAACAGAAAGAAAAAATTAAATAATATGAAAAGAAACTGAAATGAAGAAAGTTGTAGATGCATTCGCATTATTATTAAAAGAAGAAAAGAAGCATTCACTAAAGAAATGGATAAATAATATTCAACAGAAAGAAAAAAATTATATTTAGAAAGAGTTAAATAATGAAAGAAAGTGTGAATGAAAGCAGAATTCACAAAAGAAAATGAGGAAAAAAAGAATGCTAATGGAAAAGCTGGAAAAAAAAAATAAAAGGTTAAAAAAAAAGAAGCAAAATTTTTTATAAAGAAGCAGAAGATAAAGTCTAAGAAAAAAAAAATTAGAAAACTGCAAAGAATAAATAAAAGAAAAAATCTGAAAGAAAAACAGGAAGAAAGAATGAAGCAAACAGTGAGAAAAAAAATATATATATATATATATATATATATATATATATATATATAGAGAGAGAGAGAGAGAGCAGAATATATATATATAGAGAGAGAGGGACAAATAGATATATATAGAGAGAGAGGGACAGATAGCTAAATACAGAGAGAGGAACAAGTAGATAGATAGATATAGAGGGGGACAGATAGCTAGATAAATAGAAAGCGAGAGAAAGAGAACATATGCGAAGGCATAAAATGAGAACTGAGAAAAGAAATAGATAGAAAGCTAGAAAATTTTCAAGACTAAACAAAAAAAAAGTTGGAAGAACAAGCTGAAGGAAATGGTTGCAGGAGAAAAAAACCCTTCTCTCCTTTTTGTCTATTGATTATTTGTATTGCTGTCAAGTCAGCAGTTTGCCTTTTGTTCCTTCTCTCCCCATCCAGTGTTTAAGCCAAACATACCAACTGCACTACACTTGTGCCCCAGATCCCCATTCTAATCCCTCCCAGAAGCTTACCTCAGATAAATCCTACTGCTTAAACCTCCTTATAAAAAGAAAGGGCAAAAATAACACCTCTGGTTGTTGAAAACCAGCAACATTGAACTTCTGGAGATGTTTAATAATTATTTTATTGACAAAAGATGAGAAAGGTTTATGGTTAGGCTTAAATAATATTTGTAATTTATAATGCATTCCTTAAATGTTATATTGCCATTAAAGAAAGCGGATTAACTTATTCGTTAATGTCTGCAGTAAATTTATGTCTTGTAAGACATTTTTGAAAGTTTCATTTTGTGTTAATTTTTTTTTAATCATTTCACTTGAAACAAGACAATAAAGACACAAGGGGTTACTGTATGTGAGAGAATATGAGAAAAAGAAAAATAGTTGCTTACTTGTTATATTTTTTATTTTTTTGATCATTTCACATCAAGCAAGGCAATAAAGCCACTAAGATGCAAGGTGTTACTGTGTGTAAAAGAATATGAGAAATATATACTATTAAGGAGAAAGGACAATAAAAGAATGAGAATTAAGAAGACAAAAGATAACAATTAACATTACATTTCAATTTTCAAAGATCAAAGTTGACTGGAAAGCAAGAAGCCAGAAGAGAGTTCTACTAGTGAAGAAACTGTTAAGAAATTGTTAGCATAGAAATTATAGTTATGTCTAGCTATTTTAACTGTAAAATGATTACCACCAATCTTGTACTGTGCTTAAATTCAAGGTACCAAAGAGCTCATCAGAACAATCACCATCTAAGTATTTATAGAAAATGCAAAAGAAAGGTAGATTACAGTCATGCTGTTGGGGCGCACCCACCTTCTCATCAGAATGGACTGATCTCTCTACTACTAATAGGACAGTTCTATAGAGTTCTGAAAGATCAGGTGACCATCACACTTCCGTCTCTCTACCGGAAGAGACAGTTGGACTTTATACTCTTTCTGATTGTTACTGACTAACCTGCTTTCGTTTGACTACTAATCTCTCTGTTGTAAATACCTCTTCAGATGTACCAGTATTTTTCCCTATGTATGTGTTTGTCCTTATTTCAATACACGCACGCAGAAACACTCAACATCTCACATGCACAGTTACTGAAGCCAGGATGCCAGATCAGGACTGATAACATTGCAGATCCTTCTTAACTTGAAGACATTTGTGTTTTACAAAATATTAATCTATAGTATGACTGTCCACTTGAATCTGAGTATGCCTGTCTGCTAGGATAGCTAGCTAATCACTGTTGCAGGTGCCTGCTGGGGCACATTTGTGTTTGTTCAACACCCATAGAGCCAACCAGTAGTTTAGACTGCAACTATGCTGAGCAGACCTTAGAGTATCTGAAAGAGAGAGAGAGAGAGAGAGAGAGAGAGAGAGAGAGCGAGCGAGCAAACATAATCTGACATGATCAGCAGTTTGAATAACGTCAGTATGCTCAAATTACATGTGACTTTGTGTGAGCACAACCATTGGCGGCTTCCACACAGATCCCTCAACCTAATTTTTACTCATAAGGCTTGGGTCAACCCATGGTGTGGTTTTTGACCATAGTGAGATTTAAACCTGAGTATCATACTCAAAATGAAAATGATCTAACTAGTCACCTATGTGCCTGTTTGTTATAAAGGAACATACCTATTCTATAGTCAATAGACTCTCCCACCTATAATAAGTAGGAGTAGTAAGAGTAACGAGCGAGTCGGGGAGTCGGTCAGTCAGTCAATGTCGGACGACCGTTAGTCGAATACTAAAGTATCAGCGACCACAACTAGATTACTCTGCGTTATACCTATTATATCAAGTTCCTAACGTTTTGTACGTCGAACCTATTTTAGGACCGACTTAGTACAAACACAAGCCTCCACTGTGAAATCACTCCACAACACTGTTATTCATCTATAGTGTAACAAAAGCAAATTTCTATATTGACACAAAGATTTGACATGATTTGTTTTTTTTTTATGGCTTATCAACCCTTTAGGGATTATTAAAGGCTGAAACCTATTTTCCATTCTAAGAATATTTATTTCTTTTTTTTTTTGGCGAGTGAATATTGCATTAACAGTCTTTTCGAGATAATGATTTCTCTTTCTGATACAAGTGCTACTATTTATCTCATAGCTGGGGAGAAAAAATGGATTTATACCGTTCCCAAAGGTATTTGTGTGTAAGTGAATGTAACATATCAGACTGTAATTCGAACTCGGCTTTCCGATTTCTCATTCTCATTCCGTTATCCATTACATCACACCCAGCGTTAACACCAGGAAGGAGTTATTTAAGATTAAGCCACCATTTGCTGTTGGTCATTTGCCACTGGCTATTTACCATTGATTACTGCCTGGTAGATAATTTGCCATAATGCCAGACTGTCATCTAGTAGGGCTCACTGGCTTGTATTATGATATACAGATCCCTTAATGGCTTTAATTTGGCCAACCATTTCTTAGTGACATGTTACCTTTTAGCTTACTTTCCCTGTCAAAATAATTTTAAAAAAAACTGGGTAGGTTTCGACTAATCTTTCATTCACGGATCTTTAGTCTAAACTCTATAACACGCTTCTTGTTATCTGCATCATCATCTGATACTTTGTCTCACAAAATCTAAACCCTTGAGTTGCAAATAATCGCAACTAAATAGTAACACACACCTGCTAAGAGATTTCCTAAACTGACAAAGGAAGATTGTGGGAAAAGACATTTTATATGTGTAACAGATCTTGTTATGTATATGACTAAGCACTCAGTGAAAAGAGCCGAGCCTTAACATAACAATTTTCCTTTTGGCTTCATCCCTCGTTTGCTTCTTGATTTTTACTGCTTTCCTACAATAAAATCATTAGCAATGTACTTACATTATATTTATAATACTCCGCTTCTGCTAGTTAAGATTGAAAGAATTCATGACCACTGGAATTTAAGCTAGCTTTTGTGGAAGGTTCTTGATAGGGCCTTCATCACAATAGGCACGGAGGAGTAAGTGTGATAGGCAACAATAAACTACAGAAGAGATTAAAATTGATTGCTGCATTTAAGTATTGCATTAATATTTAAGCTTACCTTTTAAAAGTTCAACGATAGTTCTTCTGCCGACGCTTAATTTTAAAATAGTTTGATGTATGTAGGACCTTACTTTCCCTACACTTATTTTTATTTCATGGGTGACTTTTGCTGGATTTCGCAATTAATTTCGATTATTCTCAAATTGATTTCCTGTTATAAAAACAGTTATCGTATAAAAAAATTCACCGTAAAAAAATCACGTAAAAAAGAAAAAAAAAAAATCGACGAAAACAATCGGAAATCCAAAATTTCAGGATTACGGGGAGGGTCCGGATCCGGCCCGAATGTTTTTACTTAACTCACAGAGTTGGCCTGATTCCAAAATGTTATGATATGTTGGGATACGGCCTCTAGGAGTAAAGTTGAAGTATGACACACTGACATTTGAATTTATCCTCTTTCTCTCTCCTCCCCTTCTCTCTCTACATTATATATATATATATATATATATATATATATATATATATATATATATAAGATTAATACAAATATAAAAAGGTGAAACATGTTAGATTGAGATTCGTTTCCTACTTTGTTCGTTATTTCATTTTATCATCTTGTTAGATTCCTATCCATATCTGATCTACATTTGATTTCCAACTCATAATATATATATTTGTGTATTTAGGCAGCAATCCTTCTTTCATACTGGTTTCATTGAATATGATAGACAAGGTGCTTTGGTTTAGTTTTTTTTTTTTACAATTTTTCATCTGGTCTTAATTTTTTTTTTTTCTTTTCGAGGGATAAATTATATAAAAGAAAAGAAAAGAAAAGAAACAATTGTACAGTTTTTATATAATTCATCTCCCGAAAAGAAAAATTATAAGATCTAGTGAGAACTTCTATAAAAAACTAAAAATCAAAGCACCTTGTCTGTCATATTCAATGAAAACACACACACACACACACATATATATATATATAAGCTAAGCCTCTTTTGTATTGATTTGAAATACTTTTTCTTTTTTACTAAGCAAAATTATGATAAAAAATTCAACTGATGGTTGATAAGCATGAAACTTAAAACTTGGTTGTCTTGCGTCCAACATTTCGTTAATGAGTTACACCAACAAATGTTGAATAGAGAAAGGAAAGGACAAAGAAATGAAGGGAAGAAAACCCAGGCTTAACTGAAGGAGTTTATTTCTTAGATAAACAGTGAACAATGAGCTGAATTTACCCTATCAATCCAGGCAAGCGAAGATTTTTTTAAGTGAATGTAAGCAGAATAAAGACAAAAGAGCAGACCACAGTTTAGCGTCAGCTACAGCCATCCATGGCCTTGGCATCAATTTTTAAGGTGACACTTCTTTCAAGATATCATGATTAAAACAAGGATTAAAAAAATAAAGTTGCCTGATGATGACAAAACTGTACAAAAACAAAACGATACACGGAAGCTTTTTCAATGGCCTTCTATTTCTTATCAACTAGAAAATCATTAACTATTTGACATTCTTTCTATGTCTGCATGTATAGATATTTTGTGTGTATTTATGCTTGAACATGTACATATATAACATTAGCAATTATAGAAGAGAGCTACTCTGAAAGTATAGGGTGTTCAAATAACTTTGACCGATTTTAAATGTGAATTAAGTGTCTTATGATTTTTTCTTTCAGATTTAACAACTTAAGTCTTTTGGCAATTTCCACCATGGAAAGATTAAAAATCAAACAACGTGTTAAAGTTTCAAGAGTGTAACTGGAAAAATTGTTTGTAAATTCAAACAAACTGGGTCGGTGGCAGATGTGAAAACACTATTGCGTTGTCGTTTATGCCGTTCAGCCGAAAACTTTGCTGCAATGCATGAGAATTGGGCAAAAAATCCAGACCCCTCTATTCGTCATCGCGCGCAGGAATTGAACCTCTCCACAAGAACGTTACATCGTTTCCAATTGCACTCTCGGTTGATCGATTATGCTGACCAAAAAAATTGCGAAATGCTTTTCTGTTTGAACGTCCTTTTTCGTAATAGGCTTCGATAATTTTAACACGTTGTTTGATTCTTAATCTTTCCATGGTTGAAATTGCCAAAGACTCAAGTTGTTAAATCTGAAAGAAAAAGAAAAAAAAAATCATTAGACGCTTACACTTAATTCACATTTAAAATCGGTTCAAGTTATTGAAAGACCCTTTAATACTTCCTTTCTCTTTCTATGGAAACTGCAGCACATACAGGGAGTACAATGACACTATTTGTCAGATCGTTCTTCGGCCTCAAAACATTATATTTCTATATAGACACTACTATTGATGATATATTTTTTTACCGGTGGTGAACAAGAGGGTTGCAAAAGACTGCCGAGAATCAAGCTTGTCGCACCAAACTGTGCTCACATCCACTGTTTGGTCTTTGAAAATGACCAGCAAGTGTTGTTGAATATCAAAATGAAACAGAAAAGTAAAGACAGACCAGAAAAGACAGACACCTACCTAAGGAATAAATTCAAAGTGCTCATTGAAATAAAATAAAAGTTACGAGAATTACTTCATGTCAGTCATTCTTAATGAAAAAATATATATGCCTGTGTGTAATTTTTAAAGAAATGATGTTTTTTTTATTTTATTAATCCAACAGATTTACTTACCCGCTATTTTTAGTGGATATCCACATTTGAGTAGACGTTCTGTTTATTAAACAGGTCTGCCTAAAAAGTAGCGAGACGGGATGTGCCGTGTGTATTATGGGCATCGTCCACAGTGAGTTCTTGTCTCATGGTCAGACGATCAGTCAGCAAGTCAGTGCGCGAGAAGAGACGAGAGTTGTGGCAGGACAAATCGTGACTGCTTCAGCACGACAGTGCACTTTCTCACAACATCCTGAGTATCCGGCAGTTTCTGGCCGGGAAAAACGTCGCCGTACTGGAACAACCTCCCTATTCATCTGATTTCACACCGTGTGGCTTTTTTCTTTTCTCCAAGCTCAAGGGGATCATCAAGGGGAAATGTGTTGAAGGCTTAGAGGCCATCAAGAGAGCCGTAACGACAGAGCCGAGGGGCGTTCAATAAGAATCCTTCCAGCAGTTCATAGAAGCGTGGCAGGGAAGGATAGAAAAGTGAACTAGACAAGATGAAAAGAAACAAAGCAGAGCTGAATAGGAACGTAATAGGAATGCTCTCAGTCTTAGATGCTTTGGGCATCAACATTTTTTTAATCATTTCACCCTCAAGCAAGGCAACTAAGACGCGACGGGTTACTGAGTGTTAGAGAATATGAAAAAAATACTAAGTTGAGTGAACAATAAAAAAACAGGAACTAAGAAGACAGAAGATAACGATTGACGTTGCATTCAAATTATCGAAGATCAAAGTTGACTGAAAAGC